ATGCAATTCATGCTCATACATGCCACAAACTGACTTTTGAAATTATTGTGAAAAACGCGTGCGATAACTTCCTTGTTGTGTTTTCTCTACTCTATTATTAGTCTTATTACAAAAAACAAGGGATGGTCCACTATTGAATAAGAAATTGAATTGAAACGGTTAGATTTAAATGTTAGCAATGGCTGCAAAATAAAGTTGGAGTGTTTTCTCTAGCCAGCTTCCCGATGAACTCAAGTGAGTAATTAAAAGTAAGCATGAAAGCTCTGTCCGTATAGAAGATTACTTTACACTTCATTACTTTCCCCAAAAAAAACAGATGATATCACTTGCAATCCCAAATATGAAGCCACACTATCAGAAGTGGGTAGCTAGCTTGGCTTCACCAAAAGTAAAGAAATCAACCCAACAGTAAATCTACAGCACACCAATAAATTTGTCATAAGTAGTTTGATTAAACGGGACAAATACAGCATGTTAAAGACAGCAGATCTTTGTTTTACAGGAGTCACAGCTGTGCTTTGCTCCTTCTTTGCCAAATGAATAACGTCTTCTGAAGTCTTGTGTAGGGCTGTGCAATATGACAAAATCAAAACATCTATCGTTTCATTTAGCTATCGTTTGTCCATGCAAAATACAGTGTCTGGATGGCCACCATGCAAGCACAGAGAATACCAGCATGGCCAGTGAAGATGAACCAAGTAGCTCCAAACAAAAGGACCAGTCAAATCAAATCGAGGACCTAAAAGAGGGGCTACCTCTGTAGCATGGATATGGTTTGGTTATGAAAAGTCTGACATGGACCAGAAAACTATACTATGCAAATTATGCCGCAACCACGGACTTAAACACAACAAACCTCTTCTACCACCTACGCAAGAGTCAGGTGAAAGTGTATGAAGAGCGTTTACAGATGAAAGAAGATATGATGTGACTCCTGAAGGAGAGCCGTCAGCTGCTCAAAATAAACCTTAGACTCAAACGTTAGAACAGGCTTTTCCCCGCAGCACACCATGCAATAAATACTCGCAAAGAAAATGGCGGCCGTTACAGCTTATATCTAAAAATATATTGTTTCATGCATCGTTCAACACTCGTCTCCAGGTACACGGACGCCCAGCTTAAAACACTTCAAACAAGTCGAGTTGCCCGAAGTTCACTGAATTACAGAAAATGCACCATTTTGTGACACATATTGTTATCAGGATGAGATTTTGGTCATATCTCACAGCCCTAGTCTTGTGCTACGAAGACTTCAGGAGATATAAATCTTCTCTCTAATACTCAACAAGAAGGGTAAAAAGCCCCTTTCATTAATGAGTACAAACTATTCCACTTGACTCTACTGTGTAAGAGACAGTTCTGTGATTTTCCACATGTATCAAAGACTTCATCCAGCTAACAAGCACATCTTAAAACAGAGTTCTTCGCATCCATGACTGAGCCACATCATTTCACTGACATGTTGACATGCGTCTTCATTATGAAAAACACTGCACATTCACTTGTCTTATTTCTAGGAACAGCTGCAGAGACTAATAATAGCAATTTTTTTCACATCCCTTAAAGCAAAATGTATGAAAATAATGAAGAAACATGTCACTGAGTGCAATGGAGTGACTTAGAGATGTCATTTTAATAGGCTTTGGATACACCTACCATACTTGTTTTAAACACTGTATTCCCCATCTGATAAAATTACATTGAAACCACATCATCAAGAATAATTTCTTACCATGTTCCACCACTTTGGTGGAGAACTCCAGTTTGAGGGTTAACTGGGAACAGTTTGTGACAGACTGTGAGGAGAGGGCATCTATTTTGGGGGTGTGGTCTGAAGTAGATTCGGCTCCTCCCTCCCCATCCATCCCCACCACAGGCAGGAAGCCTGCAATCAGCCCCAAAAGCATGGACACCCATGCAGAAAGGAGGAGCATTTTGAGTTGTGAAGTAGTGTTAACCATTAGTTTGACTGAGCTCTTTGTAACTGTGGGAACAGCCAACCGGCTGGTTAAGAGTCAGCAGGTGTTGGAGCAGAGCATTTCAGGTCCACAGTTCCACAAATGAGTCCATAATGCAAGTGACCTGAGCAGCTAGATTAATTTCTTTCTGCGTTTTCTCTCCATGGTGGCGGTCCAGGGTGGCGGTTCAGCAGCACTGTCCGAGTAGGAACAAAGATGCCATGTTGATAACTGGGAGAAGTGGACAATTATCCAGAGCTGTGGATGTTTGGGAGGAGAGCTGGAGCAGTGAAACGGAAAGTGCTGCTGGATTTCTTCTACAATCTCTTGTTTTTCTGTGTAAGACAAGGAGGGAAAAAAACAAAAGCAGTAGGTCAGACAAAAGATTGTCACATTTAAATAAAATTACAACACAAAACAACTAGAAGGTACTCAGAACAACTTGAAAACTTCCCATTAGACCAGCAGTAATAATACCAGCTGCTGAGATTAATAGTGAATTGATTTTGTGGCCCTGCAGACATATGTAATCATATGCCTATTACTTTCACAGCTGTGGCTGTTTAACAATCTGCATTTGATGGCAGAAATCCAAGACTTAAAACTGTGCACATGAACACTGTCAACATACTAACAACAACACTAGAAACCTTAAAATTTAAGATTGTCACCTGATTATCTCATCTTAATTTACATGTGGTGATGTGTTAGTTATACATGGAAACACAGTCTTTAAACAGAAAAAAAGTTTAAAGCAGTGCAGCAATGTCTGCCAACAAATATGCAATGCAGATATGACAATAGCTACATGTGCTGAATCTATTCAGTTGCTCTTGATCTTTTTCTGTGTATAAATGTAAATATTCAATGCAAATCCTGCAAGTCCTGTGTTTTTTTAATCATTTATTTTTCTACTTCTACCATACCAGCGTTTAATAAAACGAACACATCGTGCAGTGTTCAGAGAAAGGAGTGTTTAACCTGCTGTGTGCAAAGGGGAAGGAAGGGAGGTGTTCTATGTAACTACAATGGGGGCATAAACGCTTGTTCATTATTTAGCCACTCGTGAAGAGTTTGAGGCAAATGTGCAGCTATGCAGAGAACAATATGTGGTGAGCCTGTCAGGGATGGTTCTATTGTCGGACTGTAATTAATATTAAATACTCCTATCACAAGAGAAAGACATGTTAAAACCTCCAAACCACATTTCTAAAAAATTGATGAAGCTGTCAGCTTGCATACCACAAGTTGGTTGGACTTTCTAAAAAAAAGAAAGTTGACAAAAGTAGATTTGCACGAGTGTGTAGTGTAAACAAGTGTGAATTATATTCACATTCATGGTGCACTTGTGGTGGCGATACCCAATTATCCTTACCTTTAAGTATCAAATCACTTAAGCATAACTTAAACCATCTGCTTCTCCTGGCGACACACACACTTCTCTATAAAGACCACTTATAAGCATTACTCTGTCTCACTGGTGAATGAACACAGCTCATAGACGGTCAATGCACTGCTGTAATTAGAATTCATATGAATGTTATTTTGACAAATAATCCACCTAAATACATCCACTGCTCCTCAGCAGCAGCTGCCACCCCAAATAGGAAAATGTTTCCCTAAAAAACTCAGAAAATGCTCAGGAATGATTTTAAAACAACAAATAAAGCTGTGATTATAGTGACATTAAAGATATATGGGAATTTGTTCACTGTGTGACAACATGCAAACTTGTACAAGAAGCCTGCAACTTTTTTTAAAGTTCACTTTAAGTACCATCTTGCTCATAATATCTATGAAGTTGGTCAATGATCAGAGTGCAGGGAGTGAACTGTTATACTAGGTCAAGCATACAATAAATATGGTTCTTTTTAACCTAGACATTCCTATGTGATCCCAGGAGGATGCAAAATTATAATTACAGTCAACCCAGATTTAGTTTCCTATAATTTATATTGTAAAAGAGATAAACACATCCCACTGTTATCTTTACTTTCATCATCTGTGTGCAGTTACACAAAACCATACAAGTACTTCTGATATGGTTGTACACATGTGTTGGGGATGTAAATAAAAGTCTGCGGCTGGTCTACTCTCACAGGAGGAGGGCCAGTCACTAGTTCCGGCTCAGGGCAGGAACTCTACATGTAGGAGACAACCTAACGTTGAACCTACCCTAAACGACTACTGGTTTAGATGCAGCGCTGTAAAAATAGTCCCACCACTGGTTAGGGCTGGGCTGTAAAAGCCAAGCTGGGACCACTTGTGTCAACATGACATCAAGCCACAAAAAATGGCATCGAGCCTCCAGGCACAGATTAGTAGGTAGAGCGCACCCCACCCCAATTAGTGCAAAGATAAGAAATACACAGCAGTGTTATAAGTTAGTGAAATTTAGTGTAAACCAGGCAAGATACTGAAAACAGTTGTGGGAGTTTTGGAGGTTACCTGCAGCAGTTGTTTGGATAGGAATGTAAATACCTTGAGATCCCAACGTTGAGGTAAAGATTCATTTTGCAATATGTAGAGATCATGAACTAACCAAACACGCTACAAAGCACACTACAAACACACAGTAGACAGTACACAATAGCTGCAGTGTCTGCGGGATTAAGCTATAATTTCTCGACCTTACGTTAAATAGCATTTTACTCTATTTTTTCTATCGCGACACTACATTTACATTAATACATTACTGTAATCCTACATTAATAAAACTTAAAACAAGCAATTTTGTTAACTAGGCCATAAACAAAGTAAAGCTGTATCCCACGACTGTATCATAATAAATACAGCAAGCATCAGCAGACATATACTGTAGGCGGAATATCTCCAAGAAGGACAATCATTTCACGGGCAGTAATTTACCGTAAAGGAACGGGTAAACATTCCGCTATCTGAAACTGTTTTCTGTAAACAAGAAAACATGCTAATAGATTTTTTCAGACCAAGCGGTCTATCACATGTAAATCGCTAGCTAGCTAGCTAGCTTGGTGTTATTATGCAGCGCCAGCTGGTAGCTTGTCTGATAAATATACTCACACAACACAGTTAAATCCCAGGCTTCACATTTATCTGGTGGTCCGTGTCGTTTGATGTCCTTGTGTTGATGTCTCGACGTCTACTCGCTTGCTGATTTTACGTCCCCTCGAACAAAAGCTAGCTGCAAACTCACTACAGCCGCAGACCACTGACGTCTGGCTTTCACGGGATGCCAGACTGTTATTCTTATCCTGCTTAACCTCCGGTCACATTTAGCCCTTTTATACATTTAAGATGGCTAAAACGCTGTACTGCCACATATTTTGCGTCGATATGGAACTCAAATAATTATACTGCCATCGAAAGTGCATTCTTTCCTGCATCCTGTATCATGATATGCGGCACTTTTTAATATCAAACCTGGCAACCCAAAGGGCCTCGCTTTAGTCCATTCTTCCCGGCCATGCTGCGTTTTTGCCAGCAGTGGGAGTTGTTCACCATCGAAAAACAACAGTAAATAGGGTAGATAATGTAGCAGCATGGTGCTGTATCAGTACATGCTCTAATACGCTTATTTCCCTCACCTTTCTGTGGATAAACTGCTGTATTTATTCTTAAGTTAGGATTTTATTTAGTTGGTTATGTTGATGCTTTGTGAGCACTCTTGAAAATATTTAGACATTTAAAATGTACTGTTTTCATTGTTTTTAATTGTATATATCAATTGCTGGATCTACTAAGGAGATGCTCTATCCCCATTGACAAGACTGGCTACCGACTACAGAATGAAGCAATCACCAGCCACCTCCTCTACACGGATGACATCAAGCTGTATGCCAGGAATGAATGAGGTATCAATTCACTGATTCACACCACCAGAATATCCGGGAATGAATGTCATTCAGACTGGAGAAGTAGGTGGATGGTAACAAAGAGGGGAAGACTGTCTGAACTGAGGGGATCGTGCTACCGGAGGCATCATTGCAGACATTGAGGATGGCTACAAGTACCTGGGAATCCCACGTGCAAATGGGAACCACGAAGAGCAACTAGATCAGGTACCCTGCTGGGATAATAAACTGGCCGAAGGAGGAGATGGAACCCACTGACTTTAACACAAGGAAGCTCCTGACCATGCACGGAGGGTTTCACTCCAAGTCCAGCACCCTGACACTATACGCTAAATGGAAGGAAGGATGCCTGGGACTAGTGAGTGTCAGTACCAAAGTCCAGGACGAGACATCTGGAAAATGCCCACAACTGACCGAGTGCTTAGTGAATACCTCAGGCAGCAGAAACCCAAGAAAGAGGAGCAAGAGAAGGAACCATCATGGAAGGACAGACCCCTGCATGGTATGTACCACCGGCAAATAGAGGAGGTAGTTGACATCCAGAAATCTGGCTGGACAAGCCTGGGCTGAAAGATAGCACTAATTATGGCAGCACAGGAACAAGCTCTAAACACAAGATAAACAGAGGCTGGGGTCTATCACACCAGGCAAGACCCCAGGTGCAGGCTGTGTAAAGATGCTCCTGAGACAATCCAGCACATAACAGAAGGGTGCAAGATGCTAGCAGGCAAGGCATACATGGAACACCATAACCAAGTGGCCGGCGTAGTATATAGAAAGATCTGTGCCGATTATGGCCTGGAAGTCCCAAGGTCAAAATGGGAGACACCCCCTAGGGTGGTCAAGAATGACCGAGCTAAAGATCCCGTGGGACTTACAGATACATACGGACAAAATGGTAATGGCTAACCAACCAGGCATAGTAGTGGTGGACATGCAGAGGAAGATTCCCATAGTCATAGACATAGCAATACCAAATGACAGCAACATCAGGAAGAAGGAACATTTGGAGCTGAAGAAGTACCAAGGGCTCAGAGAAGAGCTCAAGAAGATGTGGAGGGTGAAGGTAACAGTGGTCCCGGTGGTAATCTGAGCACTAAGTGCAGTGACCCCGAAGGTAGGTTCAGCAGATCCTGGGAACAACATCTGAGATCTCTGTCCAGAAGAGCGCAGTCCTAGGAACAGCAAAGATGTTGCACAGGATCCTCAAGCTCCCAGGCCTCTGGTAGAGGACCCAAGCTTGAAGGATAGACTACCCACCGTTTTTCCAATTTTCTCTAGTTAGTATTAGTACATTTCCACTGTGCTTTCCTGCTTGTGTTAAAAGTATTTTAGTACTTTAGTATTTAGCTTTGAGCAAGAATTTATTTGAGTGCAACAGTAACATTTGTTTCTTTAAATGGCACATGTCTAAAAGTGCTTTGCCTATTTCACTTGCAAGTAGTGTTACATTATTCATCTTGTTTGGCCGCCTAACAAAGGTACATCTTTGGGAAGCCCCTGGAAATAGTTGGATTTCTCAATATATTTGAACAAACAAACATTTGACCCATCTGCAAATATGGAAAGTGCAAAGAAGCAGCAAGTCAGGTTTCGGTGCTTTATTGGCACACACAACTCATGAGTTAAAGAAAAAAAAATTAAAAAGTTAATGGCAGAGGAATCAAAGTTTATCATTTATTTTGACACAATAACACAAGATGAACTGTTTTCATGTAACAGTGCTGAGTTGGCTACTTCATTTAGAAAGACAGCATTGGCATAAAATGAAACGTATATAAAAACATGAAAGGAAACATTTTTTACAAATGTGCTGAACATGACACACAACAGCCACTCAGTAATGACTAATTCAACTACAGAAATCCCTTTTGAGTCCAAATGCATAATCTGTAGCTATAATTCTTATTTTTTTTAATTTAACTGTTGATTCACTTTTGACCAAATGAACACACTCAATACTGTAGGTTGGAAAGAAAAATCATTCAAGAGGTCACTCAAAGCATTCTTTTAACACGGCTACAGCTGATATCTCAGCAAAGAACACAAATTCTTTAAAGCCTGCAGACTGTGCATTTGATATCAATACAACATTTTTGGGCGCACAGGGTGAAAATTAGAGTTTCGCTTTACAGTTTCTATTTAATTGAGATATAGATATCTATATATCTATATAGATATATATATATATATAAAAAATAAAAAATAAGCATTTTACCTGTACAGGAATACTAAGAAAAACAGCAGTAGGACAAAGGAAGAGACTAAAAATGATCAAAGACGACGGAAACAGTTGCATCAGAGAGATGACAAAGCCTCACGGAAGAAAAGTGAAAGCCAAAAGACAAAAAGCAAAGGAAAAACTGAGGTCAGCGGACATGGCTCGATCAGGTTTCCAGTACATATTAAAAAGTTCACAACAGCACACTTTTAAACTCTAGGAAAGATCACAGCAAAATCCTTAAAAAGCAAAGACGGAAAGACGGCAAAGTACCATTAAATTTCCTCTGGAAGGCTTCTGAAAAAACAAAAATAACAAAAAAACAAACAAACTAGAAAATCATGAATCTCAGTTCAGTACTGTACATTAAGTGCTTTGCCAGAAAGAAAAACAGCAAAAAGGACAAACAATTTCAATCTCATTTGTGAGACTTTTGGTTGTAATACTTCTGGGATTCTTTTTCCCTATCAACTTGGGAATAGTCATCACTTTAACCATCTTCATCAACAAAGTTTAAAAAAAAAAAAAATCACTTTTTCATTTAAAGGTATTGATATTTCATCAGCATAGCTCTGATTTGTGCACTGGTCACAATACTTCATTGCGCAATGATGCTAAATATTCATAAGTTTAGTGGAAATGGTTTAGACCGTAAACATCAGAAAAAACTAACAACTACAGTTTCTTTGCAGCTCCTATTGCAGATCTGATCAACTAGAGTTCTTGTAGCGAGCTGTTTGAATGTTTTATAACTTAAGTTGAAAATGTCTCTGTATAAAAAAAGCCTTGTGCATTAAACTGTATAGCTGCATGGCTGCACTCTTTATCTCCTTCATTTTAGAGTGTTTACATCCACTGAAAGCTAAATACATTACGAAAAACCAAAACACAATCTCTTTAATCTCCACAAACTCCATGACTATATGTGGGTTTTTCAAATGACTTTCTCCAAGCCAATTAGAGCAAGCCCAACATTAGATATCAGTTGCTTAGCATCAGTTGTCTGTTTATCTTCATCATTTTCCTTCCATATTTTTCTAAAGCATACTCTGTAATATGTCTCCCGTTCTGAGTAACATTTTGGGACAAAGTTGGTGGGACTTTAAGACAAGGCTGCATCAAAACTTAAATGTAGTGGAATAAATGTATGAAGTTTGTAAATAGAGTGCTTCTTAAGATTTAGGAAACAAACTACACACTTACTAAACTGACTTACACCTTTAAAAGTGTTACAGTTACAACATATATAATACCAACAATAGAAATTAAGTTTTTGGAGAAAATGATTTCCTGATATCTGATTTCCTACTTGTTTTATTTAAATATGCTTATTAGAGTTTCAGAATTAGCATTTACTCAGTTTTGAAAGAACAGGCAAGCTCCAAAAACGCTAACCTATCTAAAGTTACTTGGTCACTCTACTGTTATCATAACAATTTGCAATGTGTGGCACTTTTGTGGAATCTAATTTAAATTTACCATGCTTCCAAGAATATTTTTTAAATTATTTTGCCATAGCTTTGTTAAGCTCTTTCACAGCAGGACAATGCCATTTCTGTCACTTGGCTAGCTCAATAAGCTAATGGTAGAGTGTCATAACACCTGGAAATTACTCGGTGAAAATAATCAATTCATAATAAATCTTACACAATTATTTTAAAGCTAGGCTACATTTCTAAAAGACAGTATGAAAAGCTCATGGAAACCCAAAGCAGCCTATGTATCTGTGACTAAGATTCATGTGCCGGTGATCAAGAAAACTCAATGGCCATTTTCCATTATTAAGACAAATCCCTGCTGTACAACAAGGAAAGGCTCATCGCTGGTACTTTACGAGCAGTGTCAAATCAAAATGACACAGGCTGCGTTAGGCAATAATCTATTATTGCCTAACACAACTAAGATTTAACAGCGACGCAAAGAAAAAAAAGAAAAAAAAAAAAGAAAAAAGAAGGGGCTTCACAATCTTTTGATAGTTTTAGGATCTTAACAATAATGGCAAGAGTAACTAAGCTTTGGACTGACTAAATCATTTTGGCCTAAAACGGTGTGATTATGTTGCAGCTCGATATGATTAACCACATCTCAAATCAAAGTCTATACAATTAGCACAATAATAAATTCACAGCAATCAGAAATGAGTGAGAGGAATGCGTTTCCCTCCTCTTCTGAAGAATCTCTTTCCTCTTAGTAATGTCAGTATCCAGAACTCTGTTCAACAGATCCTTGTGGAAGGTCATTATCCAGTGACCATTTGAATGGAGACTAATAATCATGTCAACAATAATAAATAAATATGTAGCGACACAGGGAACGGGAGAACACAAGGAAAGTGAAAGGCACCATCCTGCTAAAAGTAAATGTGAAAGAGTTGGATGGAGCAGTTGCAACACACTGCCATAGACGTTGAATGATTTTGTCATCTTTCTGACTTGTTCTACAGTCTCAGTTACTTTTCAGCTTTGTCATTTTAGAGTCATGGATTTAGTCAAGTCATTATCCTTGTTTTAAGGCAGAAATGTGGGACTTCAAGACACTTTTGCCCCCCAAACACTGGCAGCAACTCAAAGCTTCAGTCATTGCTGTGTTGTTTAAAGAAAAAAAAAAAAAGAAGAAAGAAGGTCCGCTACAGTTGCTGGCTGTTGGGCCTTGCTTCAGCCATCGTACTGCTGCTGATAGCGCCGGTTCAGCTCTCGCAGCTCCTTCTCTCTCACCCGCCGAGCCTTGTTGGATTTGGTTGAGCGGCTGGAGCGCGTGGACTGGGATGACTTGGTGCTGTGGCAGCGTGAGGACGCACGCTTCAGGAGGTTGTGAGATATGCAACGCTGCAGGTTCTTCATGGACGACGAGGCTGCCATGCTGACGATCCAGGGGTGCTTGAGGGCCTGACCGGCGGTAAGTCGCTCACTGGGATCCACTGTCAGAACACGCTCTACAAAGTCTTTGGCAAGGTTGGACACACTGGGCCATGGCTGCAGAGGGAAGACAGGCAAGAGAGAAAGACTGAAATAAAACCAACTGGTTGAATTTTACCAAATTTCTTTATATACTTTATAGAAGAGGTTGATTGTATATTAGGTACAACTAGCTGAAACTAATGATAAGAGTAGAAGCAGACTGAAGCAAAAACATTTCACTTTCCATGCATCTCCTTAACATAACAGTATATACAGAAGGCTTGTAAAAGCTTTGCACATCTGATAAAACCAACAAATTTTCTCTGAAATACAAATCGGTGGTTGTCCAACAGAAAAAGCTTACTGATGTGCAAAATATTTATGCCAAGAATATATGGAGAACACTTTCATTGGAAGCCACTTTCGGTCCCCCAACAAAAGTTGCAAAGCAAAAAATTTGTGTTCAAAGAGCATGAAATGAGTAGCTATAGCATTAATCTTGAGAAATGTTGGCAGGGTTTTTCCCAGTGGACACAAGATGGCAGCAGAAACACAAAGCAGCAATGAGCAGTACTAGTAAAGCATCTACAATAAGTTAATTAAGTTATTTTATTAAGCAAATTAAAATTGCCCAGTGCATACATTTTGAGTGGCTGTTCTCAAGATGTTAAAAGTTAAAGCCTTTTACTCTCGGTAAAAGCCTTTTTTAACGTTAACTCTGACATGGACTCTTTTTACTGTAAGTTCCTGGTGATGAGTTAAACTCTATTTCTACTTAGACAGGAATTGGGAACATCCATCCTGCATGCCTCTTCTCACACACACACTTTACATAATGTCCTGCTTGGCAACTAGCTGTGTTTTCAGTCTCCCAGCAGACAACTACCCCACTTCAAATCCCACAGCAGGTAAATCACCAGTGCTGGCTAAAAATACATGACATATATACATATAACCCACCTCAATACAATTCTCCCCCACCCTATAACAATGACTGGGCTGTGTTATATCCTGGAATGGAGCTGTAAATGTGAATATTATTTATCACAGCTGTAAAGACCAACGTCCCCAAGGGAAGCACATTCAAGCCTGCTCTACCACAGCAATCAGGACAAGCTTTTCTTCAAGAACAGCTTTGGGATTTCTCAAAAACATTGACGTGACCACACGTACAGAAGGTCTCTGACTACTTTCCATTACTGGCATTACTGGCAAACCCTGACGAATTCACATAGGTGAGGCTCATTAGTCTGATTTGGTATCTTGCAAAAGTACTGCCCATTTGGTATAGCTTTCTATTTATTTAATTATTTATTTATTTTCCACCTTCGTTGTATATTGGTTTCTCTTCTTCTTACTTTAGCACCTTTGTGGTTCAGCTACCCAATTTCGCTGTGCAAGAAACTGCACAATGACAATAAAAAGCTCTAAGTCTCTAAGTCTTTAGCTCTTTTGAGGGCAATGCTCTGCACTCATATGGAAGCAGTTCAAACCTTGTGAATGGTTTGACCACTAGTAGACATTCACAGGCTACTAAAGGATGGGTTACGATCATTAGCCGACAAATGTTCCTGCAAATTGTAGTGCAGTAATGCACCACAAAACACTGCAAGCTAGCAAACACGGATCGGCATTAGATTCAACTTAAAGTCTTTTGAAAACTGAAACTGTTCAACAATATGCTTTAAAACATGCACACAATATTTTATGGTGAACAAACATTGAATGAAAACACCTTTATGAAGAAGAAAACTAAAACAGCAAAATGAATATTTTTACAATGAAAAAAATTGTAAAAAGGCTGAAATGACGTGTGAAATGTGATTTACTTTCATAGCACTAAGATTTGCCTACAGCAGGCAGCTGTTTTTATGAGAAAAAAAAAATCTTATAAGCCCACCATGCACTCCTTAACTGGCCATGGACAGCAACTAGCTAATGAGCACAGACGCTATAACCTCAGCTACATCTTTGAGTTAATGGTAGATCAATGAAAAATGTTGCTCTGTATCTTTTGGACGTATAGAGACAGCTGTTTGGAAATTTTATAAACACTGTTTATAATTTGTCCCAGAAATGTCCCGAGAAAGTAGTTTCTGCTGTTTGTTGTTTTTGCCAAAGAAATGTTGTGAATGTCCAGAGATATTCTTCTCGTTACTCTCGAGGTCTTCTGAACTGTTTATAAAGTACAAACTTATCCTCAAAATGTGTAAAGGTCGGTTCTAGTGAAAAGCTCTATTTACTTATTTCAAGGAAAACTCTGTATGCAGCACAGCTGGTTCAGCCAGAGTCTGTGCTGAAGCAAAATACTGGCTCCTTGGAAGTGTTTTCAATTATTAAACATCCCTGATCTGGCCTTATCTTAGCTGTCAGATATTTGAGAAGTTAAAAATCTGGCCAAATCCCCAGAAAACTCAGATGATTCAACTGCTTCTCATTAAATATTACAAAACTACTCAGCGATTATTCACGCTGGAGTGGTTGTATGTGGGGCAAACATTAACCACGGGCCCCTTTGGTAACATTAACATCCCACACTGTGAAACAAAGGAATGGACTACTCAGCATTCTTCTGAATTGATTTAGAAAAGACAAATTACTGAGAGTGCTCCAGTGTACAAGGTACCAGTTTACGTGAAATGACACAAAAAGTGGAGAATTGTGAAGGATTTGAAGTCCAAAAAAAGACACAGTGTATGTATCTGGGTTACAACCGTTTCACCTCACAAGCTTAACTTCCTGGAAATCTGTTGACAAAGCCCCCTGCAGTCTGAGGAATGCATTCCTAATACGACCGAAGTGTGCTGGTGTAAGGGAAAAGTGAGCAACAGATTTAACTCCTCACCTCTCCAGAAAAGCTGTATTTCCCTTTGAGGATCTGGCGGTAGAGCCTCATGCGATTGTCGTCCTCGAAGGGCATGGTTCCACTCATCAGGATGTAGGAAATCACCCCAAGCGCCCACATGTCCACAGCGTTTGTGTACGGCTTCCTCACTAGGATTTCAGGCGCTATGTACTCCGGTGTGCCGCAGGTGGTCTTCATCAAACACTCGCCTCCCTTTTTCCTGCTACTGGCCAAACCAAAATCAGTGATGATGATCTTGGAATCAGGTCCCGGGTGGTAGTAAAGCAGGTTCTCAGGCTTCAAGTCTCGGTGAGTGATCCCCAAAGTGTGGAGATACTTGACGCCATCCAGCACCATCTGCAACACCCGTGTGGCGTCCCGCTCTGTGAAGGAGCCGCGTGCGATGATCCGATCGAAAAGTTCTCCTCCAGTGGCCAGCTCCATGACCATGTAGACACGCTCAGCTGTCTCGAAGACCTCCATGAGTTGGATTATATTAGTATGACGAACACGACGCAGAACACACAGCTCTGACTCGCACACCTCCCTCCCCTCACGGTACCGGGTCTCGATCATTTTGATTGCGTATGGCTGTCGGGTGCTCTTGTGCTCCACGCGGACCACACGGCTAAAGCTTCCCCGGCCTATCAAAGCTTTGATCTCGTACTTGGCTGTAACCCGGGGATCAAACTTAGCTCTGTATTTCGCCACTTTCCTTCGCTGAGGATCCGGCAATTCGGACAGGTCCTTAGGGAGGTGAGCTGAAGCGGTGGGAGTGGCAGTGTGAGACTGGGCTTGATGTGGGGAGGTGATCTCTGCTTTGTCACCTGCTCCGCCACCAGCCACACCCATCTTGCTTCCAGAGCCATCCCCTCGTATGAAGTGCTTATAGATATCTGTCTGAGGTTGAGGATCAACCTGAAAAATACACAGCACAGTTCATCAAAATACACAGAAGATCAATGAAAGAAAGAAATCAACTAAAAAAAATACCATACTAAATTATACTTATATTCTTTGTCTATACAATGTCTACAGTTACAGATTAGATGTGTTCAAAGCAGCCAGTCTCCACACTGCAGCTTTGTGTAGTAAGTAGGAGCAATAGATATTTTACAGCATTTCTGAATAAATCAATATTTTTTTTCAGTTGGTAAATAAAAAGACCAATAAAATGTTTTGTTGCACCCACTAATCAGTCTCAAAACCAAATATGTTCAGTGTAAAGTAACAAAAGAACTGCGGCTGAGGTGATAGATCAGGTTGTCTGCCAATCAGAAGGTTGTTGCATTGATCCCTGACTCTCTCTTGTCCACATGAGAGAGGCATCCTCGAGCAAGATACTTAACCCCGAGTTTTCCTGATGCATCCACAGTGTGCCACAGACAAAAGTTATGTATGAATGAGACCCAATTGTAAATTTTGAGTAGAGAGGGACTAAATCCATTTACCCATTAGCCACATTCAAAAAGATTAGATATATAAATTTTTTAGTTTTACTTTTAAAAACACAAATTAATATTAAGTCAAAAGACTACCAGATTAGTTTTCTAACAGATTCCCCTCAAATACTTAGGACTAAAAAAATATTATATGAAGAGACATTGTTTAATCATAGTTGTGTTGTAATCTAGATCTTTTAAAAGCAAAATTTCATGTTGAAATAAATGTACCTATGAAAGCACTTTGACTTTGTATTGTTTTCCCTCCTGTGGACGATGATGAAATATTCACATCATTCAAAAGCCGCATATGTTATTTTCCTTTTTAACCAAACAAATTGCCTCCAAAGTGACTTTAAGCCATTTCGGACAGCTCCACCATGTCACTGTATCTGGACAGTGAAGCTGTTGATATGCATGATTACATATGCCATAACCATACCGTTAACAGTTACAGCATCTTTACTGACCTTTTTGACCAGGTCCAACTTAACATCCTCTGGAGGCTCAGGGAGGACCTTACTGTTCCGGCACCCCATCACATCACCTTGGGCCACTGCCCAGTCAGCCACACAGGCCACCAGGAGCCCTGCCTCATCACCGCCACAGCCGATTTAACAGCAACATCCAGGCTGCACCCAGACTCAGCTTGAGGGTTCATGAATAAAGCGGATTACATCCACTCAAGTACCAGTGAGCTGGTATCAGCAGTTACAGTACATGAATGCGATTGAGTCTGGTTTAACAACTCCCAAGTGCTCATGAATACATCTTGAATGGGCCTGCAGCTTACGCAAATCTCTGGTACTAGTTGTCTTCAGTGTGCTTCGGTAGGCCTGTAGCAGGGCCACACAGTCAGATGTTATCAAGGATGCATCTCAGATAGGATAATGTACAGAGAAAATGGAATGGATACAGCCGGTGTGGATGCTCACGGCAAAAAAAAAAAAGAAGAAAAAAGTTTGATCCGAAAGGGAGCCGTTAGCCTGAGCGTTATCCAGCTTCTCTAAAGCAGGCTTAACCGGAGCTGCCTTTAGGGGGAAAATACAAAGTTGTCCTCAGGACTCATTCAAAGCTTCCAGGGAAAATAAGACCACCATCAACTACGCTATGATCCATTGGGAAAAGCTGCAATGTCAGCAGCGGTCTAGCCACACATGAAGCAGCTCCCCTGGAGAATCACAAGCTGAAGAACAGTGAAGGGAGGCTGTGAAATGCAAAGAAAAAATTAAGCACAAAATAAAATATGAATACAAGTTTGTGTGTATATCAAATGCAGATATGACAGCAGGCATCTTTTAACATACATGCTTTTTGGTCACTCATTTTAACACTATTAAAATTAAGTATACTTTTATATGGAAGTTGTGTGATGAGGCCATACTGTCAGACTCCCAGCAGAAATATATGATCAAAGCTATTAATACATGTTTTGGAATGACTAAGACGACATGTGACAGGCTTTGCCATTATGAAAAGAGAGCACCAACACAGATGGTCACATATCTGAGCTGGAAGGCTGGTCGATATACTTTATTTTTATTTTTTGTTTGTACAAAATGTTTAGCAACCTACCACAAAACAAGAATTAAGGAGTACGTTACAGGCTGAAACTAATAAAACTGAAAATGGGTACATTTACTTAAGAAACCTAAAGCAAAACTACACTTAACTTCGAGATTTTTCTTTTTTTTAAGTGAAGGCCTTTTTCGTGTTTATTTTTTTATGATAAAACCCACTTTACCTGATTTTCCCCAACCTGTAGTAACATTAGGGTAGTCTCTAAAAGTTTTCACTAAGAACCCAGACATTAAAAGCGTAAGAGTGACTCTGAATCTCACCTCTCGACTTACCCGAGATAGCGAAGTGTCTAAGTACGCTAACTAGCCTGCTAGCAGCAAGGCAGGACTCCCAACTTTTGCCAAATCCAGCCTCCTCACCCCACTCTCACTCAGCTGGGCTCTCCATTTTCACCTCGTAGTTTCCCAACTTTACTCCCGAGGACAAACAACTCAAATCCATCACGGCCTTTCTTGGCGACACTTTGTCACTTTTAGAGTTTGCTAATTTGTTTTCATGGTGTTACAAAATGTTAAAGAAGTGTACAAGAACACTCAAAGTCATCCCGTCGGTTGCTTTTCTGGACGGTGTTTTTCAACCAGGACCACCTTCCCACACCCACAGAGAAGCGTCAAGAGGCGCCGGCGTTCCGGCCTAGACTTTCAAAATAAAGCAGATTATAGTTAAATAAAAGACTAGTATCCAGCCATCCACTCATTATTCATTTTTATAAATATGCAGCTCTACACATATAAATCTGGAAATATACTGTCTTCATGTCTGCACTGTGTTCTTCTTATTGTCCGTCTATTCTGTTAAGTGCATTGAGAGCAAAGAAAACAATTCCTTGTGTAGAAAGTGTAAGGTGATTCTAATTTCTGCATTAAAATATAGATACTTTTAAAATCTAGTATCTGCGGATACCAAGTACCCATACAAAATGAGTGTAAAATTAGAAAACTATACTATAGATAACTATATTCCTTACGTTGAGGTAAATGTTGAAAATACGTCTTTTTATATATATATATATATATATATATATATATATATATAAAGGAACATCAAGCTCGACTTTCAAATTGCTTTCCTAACTTTGTAAATATGGTAAATGGCCTGTATTTATATAGCGCTTTACTAGTCCCTAAGGACCCCAAAGCGCTTTACATATCCAGTCATCCACCCATTCACACACACATTCACACACTACAACCAGGAATTAAAATTTAGTAGATCTGTGTTTAAAAATTCAAACACAAAGATGAATGAAATGTAAAAGTCAGCTCATACATTTGCACTATAGTCTCATTTCAGCGCAGTGTAAAAGTCTTTGCTGTGCTTTGCTGACTTTTATGGTGATGCTGATTTGCCCTTGTTCCTCCTCAGACACAGAGTGGAACAGATAAGACAAGAGGAGTGAAATAATAAAGAGTTTACAGCATCCCCTCAGTTTGCCATAGGACTAAAAAGACCTTTGGCAGCTACCTTTCTCCATGCTACAGTGCTGGTGGCATGGTTCAGCAAACACGCAAAATTGAATAGATTGCCCCCTTAGATTGGCTTGTTGCCACTGATTGTGATCTAATCGTTTAGTGTATTCCTACCTAAGAAACATAAAAATGATCACAAGTGACACGTAATGACTGTAAAGATGCACTAAATTAACTCAAAGATGCAAAACAATTATAGAGAGACACAAAATCACCATAAACTGATTGTAAGCAACCACAGAAAACTGCATGATGATCACCCAATGGTACCAAATGAGTACAAAGACACACTCGGTGACACAAAATGATCACAAACGGATGCCAAACAAATATGAGAAAGTAACGCATAGTGTGTGTGGCTGTGGTCATTAGGAACTAAAAGCTCTATTGAGTTCTCGGTCATGAGCAAATCTTCTAACAATAGTTGCATGTTGACATTTCAAGAAGATTGTTCTTGGTCTACTCTTATTTTGAAAGCTATATCATTCTGCTTCCTGTGCACTTTACCTGTTTGTGTCTAACTGTACACATCTCTCCGCTTCCACCCAACTTTTTTTTCTCCCCTTTTTTTTCTTTTTTTTCCTCTGTAAAATCGGACGACCTCCCTCGGCTTGTTTCGACCCCATTAAGTCCTCACCGTCACTTCCTGGATACAGAAAGAAGTCCCTATGACTTTTTTTTTTTTTTGTCTTGAAACAGTACAAGAAAGTTTAGAAGTTATGCTTCCAACTAAAGGAGTTCCACATAGGATGACTAGTATCTGACCCTCATTTGATATGGACATGCCTCAAGTCACAACATCTGAGAGAATCTGTGATGTTACAGCTGCTGCAGCTTTCCGCAGACATCTGAGCAAAATATAAATGATGTGGAGCAAGTGAAAATTTTACATTATAGTTAGTTTTATTATTCCTTTATGTGATGGTATCCCACTGAGGCACGTTGGGGAACCACTGGTGATCTTTGGGGTATTTTTTATGCATTTAATTCAATGCAGGCATGCAAATAAAATTGAGGCCACTTCACTCGCCTCCACTCTGAAAACATAATTTATACAGGACTAAACCATATGTCGAGGAGCTCTCCCTGCCGTGAAGTTTCTACAAAATTAAATGAAAGCATGCATATGTTTTTGTTTTAAACAGATTTCATGTGGTTAATTATATGCTTTGGTTGTATTTAAAGATATAGGTTTGCAGGACAAAATGCATATCAGCTGTAGTCTGATATGCTGAGCTTTGCATCAGTGAAGTAAAGCTCTTACAGGATTTTTCCACACGGTGTCACTGCTAACATAAAAGTCACTCCAAGGCTACCTCAGACTGTAAAGTACTTTTAAGCCATTTTATTAGAATAACTGTTTCTTTACATGCCTCCACTGTACTGGGATGAGTAACGTTCAGTTTCACCCTGCTTGATTCACGAGCAGTATAATAAACAACGCAGGTCCTTGGCTTTGATATTGATGTGATGGAGCATACTGGACTCAGTGTTGTAGACTCACTTGACCATGGCTTGTGCAGCTTGTGCAGGGCGCAGCAGAGTTTTGTGGAGCAGCATTAAAAGAATAGAGAATTAGTAATAGGAAGACAAATGTTCCAGAAAGAGAGGCAGAGACAGTAAAATTCATCTTATGATGCCAATAAAGCTCCCTGAATTGGATTGAGAGAGTGAAAATGAGTGGGGGAGAAGGGTGGGGGTGACGGAGGAAGACAACGGATGACAGATGGTGGGTACCAGACAGAAATATAGGAAGAAAGGAATGGTGGGAGGGGGTAGAAAAATGAAGCAGCAGAGAGTAATCAAAACGGAAAGAAGGAGATAAGGAGAGAGAGAAGAAGACCCGCTGCAGCCATGAGGCAGGGACAGGGAGAAAAGGATGAGACAAAGAGAGAGAGATAAAAGCAACGAAAGAGATCCTCTGAGGGCTCTTGCTGCCCATCCAGCCTCTCTGCTCTATCTGCAGTGCAGCTGAGGTCAGGGCCTCTCCAGCGCTGCAGCCCGCTCTGCTACGTCGTCATCTTTGTGATTGATCACCGCTTTGTCGCACTCTGATCAAGATGCTTTGTCTGAGTGCCCTGCTTCTATTGACACTCGTGTGTATTCCTCTCCATCGCTACTCTCCCAGCGCTCCATACCCACATCTTTCTCTCTCTCCATTTCCACTTGTGCTGTCCTGTTACTCACACTATTTTCCCCTTTCAAAGGTCAATATCATCTATTAGGTCTAAATTTGCTGACTGCTGTATTATTTATCCCTACAGAGAAGGAGGAGATGCTCTATTAAAAGCTCAGTTGACTCCATCTGTGTCTCTGTCTCCATTAATATCCCCATGATAGTTCCCCCTCATTTGGGTGTAGGTTTGTGAGAAAGAAGAGCTTTAAAGTGTGTGCCGCATGTTTCTGCAGAGGATGAGTAAGAGCCCGTGAGAGTTTCCAGTGAGCGCATAGAAGCAGTCCGGTGCTGCGAGACAAAAGGAGAAACTCTAGAAGATGACATCCTGTGTCAGATTTGATCCTTGTCGTAGGATTTTTCTGTTTCTGCAACTCCCCCTGCATCCAGACCGAGATCCCCACTGTACGCTGTCAGTACAATCAGGTGATAGTAAACTCACTATTGATTACCACAGGCACATTACTCCCTCAAGGAATATTGCGCGACTACTATACTGACACCACAGGAGATAAAAATATCATAAACTACAACATACTCCTTCTCAGGATATTATTGACCACCATACGCAAGCTATTAGTTTCCATATCACGAGAATATTACAGGAATTTTATTCTTGTCCTGAGGTACTGTATCTACATGGTAAGTGTCACAGATATTGTAGGGTTTTTATTTGGTCCCTGTTGAATAGTGCATGTCTGGGACACCTGGTTCTAACTTTTACAGTCCAGCTGATGGCTAGTAAGTGCTTCTGTGTCTATTTTTTATTGGCTTTTTATGAGCGTTTTGCAAAATCGCTGGGGAAATATCTCATCACCATATAACAGATTCAAGGTCCCCGGTGTCCCTGAAAGTTGAAGATGCTCACAACACTAAAACATCCAACTAGTAAATTCTTGTGTAACCTGCTTGTACTGAACTCTGTAGCCATACACGCAGGAAGATAACCAGGTATGAGGGAAGAAAGGCGTAAACACAACAAGAAGACTGGACAGGAACAGATATTGATAAAGTTTAAATATAAATGTTGCTCTACGTTCATAGAAATGACTAGCAGTCAGGTTTGTCTGATTGACTGTACTTTTCTCCCTCTTGTATACTTATTCTTTTTTATTGCCTCAGTCTTTCTCAGGTCATTGTAGGCATCATGCTCTCTCTTTCTATTTTCTGTCTCTCATAGTTAATAAATCAGGTGCCTCTTTGACTTCCTGCAAGTCTAGTCTGTCTTTTTGACAGTTTTTTAAGAGTTAATTTTTAGAAAACTCACAGCTTTGTATCAATAACTTTGATTTTAGTTACAAATACAAATGCTAGCTTAGCAGTTAGCAGCATTAGGATTAGGATTGTGAGCGAATGTTAATGCTAGAGGTCAGAGGAAAACTGTCTCTGCAGAAGAGCATCTCTGGATGCACAATATATCAAACTTTGAGATAGATGAACTACAGCAGCAGAAGATCATAAGGCAACAATTTGCATGCAATCACCAAAATTGGAAAAACCTTGCCAGGTCTGATGAGTGTAATTTCAGTTTTGAAGTTCAGATGGCGCGGTCACAATCGGGCACAAACAGCATGAAAAAATAGTTTTATCCTACCTGTAGCAACGGTTCAAGTTTTGGTGATGGTGTAATATTGTTGGATTGTCTTGGGTTTCTTGGTACCAAATGGTAATCTTTAAATCCACACCCTACCTGATTATTGTGGCTATGTCCGTGCCTTTATGACCACATGTCTGATAGCTGATTGCAACAGGTTAATGTGCTGTGTTGCAAAGCTCAGATCATCTCAACCTGGTTCCTTAAACATGACAGTGAGAAAATTCACACTATGGATATGCAGTTTACACAATGTTATTGTGCCAATATGGACAAAAACTCTGAGGAATGTTTCCAAAATCTTGTTTAAAAAAAGAAGGGGAAAAAAGTTCTGAGGGCCAAAGGAGTCCAAACCACCAGCATCAAGGTGTACCTAAG